TTCTTACGCTGTGATTAAATTGCTATTATTCAAAAAAATTTGTAAAAACATAGATTTAGTCATTAAGGCCTGATTACTGAAGTTTATTTCTTCCTGTCCTTTGTTATTTATTTATACCAATGAGTACAAAATGCACCTTTGAGATTATATTAGATTGGTCTCAGACATTATTTGTATAGTAAATGTACATAATGTAGAACTTGTTTTTAAGGTAATTTTGACAAGTTAAGAATTTGCAAAATTTTGGCACCAAAGCAGTGAAGAGTGCCTTATAAGAAAATCCAAATTTAGGCAGGATAAACTTCATTAGCTAACTAAAGCCATTTCCTCTTTTGTGCTTTCATTTGAACTTTTGGAATCTACTACAGATTTTTCAAATGAAGCTATCCTTCAATCATTATTTATACACAAGGATCCTTGCACACAGACGACGTATGCCTATATAACACAACACCGTCATATTTTGTAGATTTTCCATTTTTTTTTTTTTTTTAAAGAATACCTCCAAAGGGTATGACTTCAGGCTGGCCCCACAAAACCTTGATCCACCTTTGCTTACCAGCAGACTTGCTTTCTTCCTTTTGCTATGCACCACATAGGAGTGAACCACACACACCTTGGGTGAGGATCTCCGTTTCTGTACCCGAATGCCTAAGGTGCTACTGCAGAGTCATGTAACAGGAATAATTCAGGGCCAGCAACCTTAAAGGGGCCTTTTGTGTGATTCTAATACATTTTGTGCTTAACTCACTCTCTTCTCTCTGAAATTACTACTTCAAACTATGATTACTCTGTTCACAGTTTGGTCCTTCCCCTCATTGTCTCCCTCCTCAGTTTTTGCTTTCTCATTACACTGTCCTTTGCATTTATCTTTTTCCCTACCTGGAATGTTCTTTGCATTTTATATGTCAGCTGCCTGGAAGCCATTAACATTTGCATTTGATATTCTTCCTAGTACATTGTTCTCAGATCCTTCCTTCTCACCCTCTTCAAGGAGTTAGTAAGCACTTTATAATAAAGCTTATTTTATTTCAAGTTGTCACATAGGTTAGAATCGTTTCTTTGTTTGAAAATTCTTATTTTTGTGAGTATTTATTTATTCCTCAGTAGGGTTGACTAAGATCTATCCTCACTTGACTTAAGGATCTGTATTAATATGAGCCACGTCAGTATTCATTTCCCCATTATATCCTGGGACCTAGCACCGCACTTGCCATAAAATAGGCATTGAAGAAATACATATGAAATGAATGAATGAATCAGTATCATGTGCCAGATTGTGTATCAAATGACTTTTATACATTCTCATTTCACTTTTACAACCAAACACGTCATTATTAAAATTGTTTTTATCTTTTTTTTTTTTTTTAAGAACAAGTAACCAAGGCTTAGAAAATATACTAAAAGAAGGTGTTTTGTTGTCTTATTCTACAGATTAGGGATTGAGGCTTAAGTACACTAACATTATGCCCAGTGTCATATGAGTAGGATGAGTGGGAGCTGAGATTTAAATTCAGGTTTCTCTGATTCCCAAACCCATGTCTTTGTCAAAATACCATGCTGCCTTTATGCATTCATCTTGCTCTTTGAAAGTAACATTATTCAGCTTGAAGAGATCTTGCAATTTGCCTCAAAGTATATATATTTATGAGCCAGAAAAATTAGGCCAGAAATATTAAATGACTCTATCAGTTGCAAAGCTACTTAGAGAGCTGAACTTAATATAGTTGATCCTTGAACAATTTGGAGGTTGGGGACCCCACACTCCACACGCACAGTCAAAAATCTAGATATAACTTTTGCTCCCCAAAACTTAACTACTAATAGATTACTGTTGAGTGGGAGCCTTATAGAAATGTATATATTATATTAATGTATATAATATAATTTACATAATGTAACCTTATAGTAATGTATATATTATATTAAGGTATATAATATAATTTATATAATGTAACCCATTATATAATATAATTTATATAATGTAATTTATATAATGTAAACCCAAAATTAACACATATTTTGATTTTCACTATCTTGAAACGGTGGGCAAATGTAGCTAGAGACCTCAGTCTATGGTGCATATTCAGCAATTCAGCTTTCTCTTATGTCATGACTTTTTTCTGCTTCTTGGGAGCACTTCCAGCATCACTAGTTGCACTTCTTGTGAGTTTCATGGTGTTAAGGTTTATGCTATTGCACTAAACATAATGAAAAACACATAAGAACTGCAAGAGATCACATTGTACTATGATATGCAATTTACTGGAGAGAATGAACTGTTCATACAGAGATGATTAGCATCACCAGGATTTTGAGCTCACTGGAATAGCACTAGGAGGTGGCTACAAAATTATTACAGTAATACAGTATGTACCACAATTAATTTTATGCAGTTACGATTTAGTATTGAATTACATGTACATTTCTCTTAAATGAGAATGACAGTATCTACAGTCTGTGTGTATGAGTTTTGATAAATTTCAAGTTTTAAAAATACATTTGTATTATTTTATAGTAAATGAGAAAAATAGATTAGTATTAATATATATTTTATATATTCATGACATACCTTTTCTTTTTTTGACATTTCTATACTATGGGATTTGTCTGCAAGTTTTTTCAAATCGTTGAAAATCTCCGAAAAAAATTTAATATGGTTATTTAAAAAAAAATTCATTTACAAGTGGATCCAGAGTTCAAACTTGTGGAGTTTAAGGGTCAGCTATATAGATATCTTTTGACCCCTAAATTAATAGCTTGAGAAATACCACTTCCAAAGTAAATCTGTAATGCTTTGGTTTGATTATAGTGTTGAGAAACATACGCCTGCCATAATTGCCATTGTAGCTTGTAATTTCATAGTGCAACAAATAGCTGGATAAAAAGATAAGGTAGATATGACTCTAAGGCAAACTTGAATACAAGAAAAAGATAATTGCAGCAATATCAAAGTCTTATATAATGTTTAGAATAAGCAAAAAAAAGGACCAGAAAATACATTATATATTTTTCATGGACATTACTGGTCTTAGTTGTAATTTTTTACCTTTAGATGATGTTAGTTGTGGCACAGGAGGGTTTGAGTCTCTTCATTTCCATTATTTTACTAGCACTTCACCTTTATCAACAGGTGTCTAAGAGATTGTACAGCATGGGTTGTTATGAGATCTCTCTAGGAGACACAATTGGAGTGGGAACTCCAGGAAGTATGAAAAGAATGTTGGAAAGTGTGATGAAAGAAATCCCACTGGGTGCTCTTGCTGTTCACTGTCATGACACCTACGGACAAGCCTTAGCAAATATCCTTACGGCCCTTCAGGTATTTTGTACTCTTTGTGTGTTATGTGTGTGCATAGGGTGTTCATCTTTATCTGTAATATAAACATACCGAGAGTTGTATTGTTACAATTTTTATAAAATATTATGAATATAATTTTAACCAGTGTCTTCACATGACAGGTACTTGGGAAATATTTGTAAATCTCACATTTTTTTAGGGCAATGAAGATCTCTTATTTATTTGATTTGATAAAATCTGTAATCTGTTCTTTTGAAAAGTATTAATCTTAGCAGAGTTATGTCTGCTTCTCTTCCCATATTCTGTCAACCGTAACATTTAATAGACTGAAATACGATGGCAGTTTAAGCAGTGCAAAACATAAAAATAGTAGACTATCATAATCATGAAACTAATGCTTTGGTGATTTCATGCTCTCTGATGGGAAGATATGGTGCTGAAATATAGTATATTTTGCTTAAAATGTTTTCCTGATGTTGGCAAGCTTACTTTAGACAGAACTTATGTCTTTTAATCAAGTATATTTCATTATATGATAAAGTGAAAAGATCTGAAAAGTGGGAAGACTGCGAGTTGCTTATTACATTCTGTGTTATTTTAAATGTATTCATTTGAAAGAATAGATAGAAGTGGCATTAAAATAGTATTATTTTAAAATTAATGTCAGGTTCTTAAATGCCGCTAAAAATGATTTGTTTGATATTCTCAGAACCCAAGATTTTGACAACTAAAGATAAGACTATATAAAAGTTTTCTGGTTGGAGGCTGAAAACCAATATGTAAAGCTTAATATCACAATCCTAAAGTATACAGTTGGTTGGCAGAAGTTAAAAAACAATGGGGATATCAAGTTCCACAAGGGCTTATTTTGACTTTGTAACATATGTATACAAATCCTTATTTATCGTCTGGAAGCAAGAAAGGAACGTTCTATTGAATCAGAGAAAAGAGAAAATGTTATTTCATGGTCTTTGAGGCATAGGAATTTTTACAATTTTCCTTCCCTACGTATTCTAGTTTCTGAAACAATAGAAAACTAGGCAGCCCTTCAGGATCCTGTGTTCAGCTGCAACTGGAAGTTATTAAGTGTTTCTGAAGGGCTCTCTCTCTCTCTCTCTCATTTCTCTGTATGAATATATCTTCTATGTTTTAATACTTTGAGTAATCACTTATTTGTGTAGCGTACTTATTATAGAATGAATGACAGTTTAGCTCTTCAGGATAAAGGGCTATAGAACAAGATATGGGACCTCAAACTTCTGCTTCTGAACTATATCTGCCTCTTGAAAATGTCCAAGTAAGAAAACATTGCTGATACCCCAATGCAGTTTGAATGGTTAAGGAAGGCCTATCTGAAGAAGCAATTGTTGAAATCATATCTAAAGAATGAGAAGGAACGAATCCTAAAATGGTGTGTATGTGTTGTGTGTGTGTGTACGTGTGTGAAAAGAATGTTTTAAGTTGATGAAATATCATTTGAGCAAAAGTCCTTGGGGAAGGAGAGGATTATGTCCTAGTAACTAAAAGAAGACTAATGTATTCAGATAAATTAAGGTTTATGAAATTTGCTATATTAGTTGAACTGCATTGTCTCTATTTTCTGAGAGATTTGGACTGAAATTCTGGTCTAGTTTTCCATCTTATAACAGCCATACAGAGGACAAGAAACAACCTTGGGCCCAAGCAGATGAGGAACATGAATGAGAACATATGTAAGGGCAGAACTCCCCAAAAGACCACACCCCCAGTCAAAGGGTGAATCAACAAAAGATCCACCGCATAAAGGGAGAGAGCAAGCATATTCAAGTCTCATGGCCTCGGCTATGAGTAGAGGAGAAATAGGACGTATCTCTTTATACTACACAATGTTTTGTAGACCTTCATGTGAGTTTAGGGTTCAAGTTCACATACCTGCAGAACTGGAAAGACCTAAGCAGATGAGTTATTTTCAAATGCCTATGGGTTAATAGCACTGCAGGTGCCAGAAGAATATTCTTATAAAATATATATACATATATATTATATATGTATATATTATATGCATATATGTATTATATATTTATATATGAATATATATTTTTAAGGAATAGATCTTCAGCTTACACTAAACTCTTTGAGATCTGTGTGTCTGTGTGCACACGTGCATGTGTGTGTGCGGGGGAGAGATTGATACCGTACCCCTCTGTGGCTCCTGTGATAAAAGAATGTCTGTCTAAGTGTCAGGATCTGAGGATCTGTGTTTTCTGTTTTCCTACCATGTGCAGAAGGGGAGAAGGGGCCTTGGAAAGCAATAGTATACTCTGTGTTACATTGCCCCAGAGCTTAATTTATAGCCACAGTGTAAATACATGGATAAGAGAGTAAAAGTGGCTTGCATAATAAGCAACATTGATATAAGGCCAGAGAAGCTACTATAAATGAGTGATTGAGAAAATGGTCAAAAAGCAGAGATGTAGAGCTTTCTGTCTATTCTGCCGTCAGCGGGCATAGAGTTCGATATCGCATTGACATCATAAGAAACATATATACACAACTGCTTTCTTGAAACTGTATGTAACTGAGACAGTGTTCAAATGTTTTGAAACGTTTGTGTTTATGAAAGACAACCACATGTGGTACTGGAATGTCACTGCAAACACACATGTGGACTGGTCCTGAGTAACACTGAGTGAGGTGTTCACCAGTGCTCTCTTCTCACCCCTCTTCCAACAACAACAAAAACACAATGAGCAGGTTTAACTTCAGAGGAGATGAAGAAAATATATTGAAGGAAACTGTCAGTGTTTGAATAGAAAGAGAATCAGGGAAAATCTAACTTCATTATGAACGGGGCCAACCTTGGCTTTAGGAAGCAGAGGCCATACTTCATTTTTTAAAAATGGAATCTTTGAAGTGGCTTCTAGTAAGATTGGTGGTGGATATGGACTAGATATCATTTGCTTTAATTTAGGAGTGGAGAAGCAGTTTACAGCGCTTCAGACTGGAAGTTAATATTAAGGCAAGCAGACATGTAATAAGTGGAAACTTGGCCACAATGATAGGAAACAAATGAAAGTTATAAATGGAACATCCCCCTCAGTCTGGAAAGCACACACTAATAGTGTAGTAGAGGGATCTGAGGGATCTTTCTTGGGTTCCTGGGTTTTATTGTTTTTTTAAATTACTTAAATACATGATTTATGGGACCAGAGATGGTTGTATGGAATTCAATAATAATTATCATATTATTTAATATAGAGAAATTATTCTGAGCATGTCGATCCCAATGTGGGATATTTATAATCCCTCAAAACCAAAAGAGCAAGAAAATGAGGTGCCAAAACGTACAGCAATTTTAGTCACGGAAGAAATGGATGTGGCCCAATATACTTTCTTAATTTTTAATGTAAAAATTTAGCTTCACCCTTCTGCCAAGTACCTAAGTAAAGTTAAAGGCCAGTTAACAAACTGTTTAATCTAATTAATTTCTCAGCCTCTATTTTTCTCCACTGAAATGAGAAAACAAATGAGAGCCAATACTGAAATAACAGCTACACATTGATTGGTAGCACAAAGACAAAGAACAGGCAATATTTGGATTTCTTCTGAAGAAGTACTATGCGCCCTTTTTTCTCTTAAACTTAATAAATTTTAATGTGCCTTTTCTCATGTTTTTCATATGCTTACTATTCTCTTTTAGAAAAACCAAATTGTTTACTTAATTTTTACATCAAAAGCTTTCAGTTTTTAGATTGACTCTTAACAAACCATGTTTAACAGCCACCAAATAGCAAATCTTTCTTCAGAGAATGTTTTTTAGTTTCTCAAGAAGAAATTTTTAAAATTCCCATTACTAGCCAGATAAACCTCTTTGTTTCTCAGTTCTATATTTGTAAGAATGGATATATGATGTCTACTTCCCTGAGTTGTGCAAAACTGAGATGAGATACAGAATTTCTAGAATGATGCCTTGATAACAGTACACATGGTTGGACTGTTGGATTTTCAAGTGTATATAACCAAGATTCCTAAGCCACAGAAGTCTGAATGAACAAAGATGAACAAAGTGCCTTTATATGTATTTTTACAAGTGGTTGTATTGTTTATATCAGTGGTAAAAAATGGGTAAACCTTCTAATACTTTTATTAGTTTTAGTTCGTCTCCAACATCTTTCTATTAATATAAGCATCTCTCTGATTTTGGCAATAGGTGATCAATTAGTTTTTGTCTTTAGGGATAATATAATCTTCATCTATTTCTAGATAGCCACAGGTATAATGGATAGTTGGAAAAAGCTGTTTCTGAGCTACAGGAAATTTTAAACTGACATTCAGTTAATCAACATTTAAAAATAACACATATAAAAGTTCTGATTCTACTCTAATAAGCTAAAAATGAAAGTGGTTAATCTTCATGCAACAGACTATACTTAGATCTAAAACTTGAAGCTCACCAAGAAAGTAAACACATCTAAACCCACCCTGCCACTCCCACAGCACTTCATCCATGCTGACCAAATGGACTAGTAGTAGAAAAATTGATTGTCAAGTGTTTCCTGAGTCAGAAAAGTAAAAAAGAATGAACGCTAGGTTCATCAGTAGAAGGGTTTTTTGTTTGTTGATTTTCTTTTTAATCACAGTTTAACAATTTTTTGTTTGTTGTTGTTGTTGTTTGTAAATCATTGTTTCCACACTTAACATCAGCACAATTAATTTACGTTGGTAAATTAATTGGGTAAGGGTAAAGAGTAAAGGATAAAAGGGTAAGCATAGGGAATAACATACATTGTGATCTCCATTCCCAAAAGTCACAGCTCACTGGACCAAAGAAACTCTTTAACACATGTCTAACAGTTAGAACATCTTTTTTGGGATCCAGAGGCTGAAAAGGTCATAGGCAGAGTCCTAGAGTTCAGATATACACAGAGAAGTAAAGTCGAGGCTCATGAAACTGAGAGATTACAGGATGGAGAATATGCCTGGTAGCTTTTCACTTTCCATGGGGCCAAGTGTTGTGGTTTTCTGCTTCATATTCTTAAAAT